CAGGAGCTTGACCATAGACGGATGGTTGCTCCTGTTTTATCGTTTAAATAATCGTTTGAAGTGGATTTTTATCAAAGTGATGCGATTATGTGTATTAATGGTCTGCACATGTGAGCTATTAGAGAAAACGACTAAATAAGTGCTTCGATGTTGGTATAAGCCTCAAGTTATTTTAATCGCTTAGGCGTCTTATGATTTACTTCCGTGCTATCAGAAATAGCTGTTAAATATTTGATTTCTTCAGCTGCATCCGTAGCATCTGAACGAATTACTTCTACAATCAATCTTTTAGTGCCCAATAATCGCAGAATATTGGGCACAGAAATAAAACAACGAGTATTTTTGAAAACTCTTACTGAAAAATATTGGTAAACATAATTGTCTTATTTAAATTAAACAATAATTAAAGTTACAGCCTTATACGTCCCAATGCTGGGCACTCCTCAGCTGGGCAGGCCTCTCCTAATTTCTGAGAGGGTTTTAGGGAAACGTCCGCCGCGCTGCCCAATGCGTGTTGGCGAACTTCACGTTTTTTGAAATTTTGATTTTATTTCTCAGACATGCAGGGTTCCTCACGGTGTTTTCCTTCATCGTCGAGCACGTGGTAAATCAGTACTTAAAATTGCAATTAACAATTTCATTGGCGCCGGCGGGGATCGAACCCGGGTTTCTCGCGTACTGTGAAATTTACAGCGAGCGCTAACCATCTGAGCTACCACGGCTCATTAATAATTCCTAAGAATTATAACCTAACATTTTCATTCATTTATAATTTAATTTGTTTAATAAATATACTAAATTATAAAGTGTGTAAATCATTTTTAAGCAATAAGCATCGATATATCGCTTATGTATATCTCACGTAAGGAAATATAGATTACGAAATTAATTTGTTCAGATGCGACGATTCTGTAGATAATGAAGTGTGAGAATACTTGTGCATAATATTATATGTTTTTTGCAACGAAATTCCTTATCGGATGGTACGGGTTTGGTGGATGGGAGCTAGACGACAAAAAGTTTAAGATGTTTTCGTCACTACCCCTTGTGTCATAACAAAGAATATATACACTACGCGAAGTCATAATGTAGACGTCCTTGGCGGCGAAATAAAGAAGTGAGATGGAATAATATCCATCTCCCTTGCACTTTTTCTTATCTTGCCAAGAAAGAAATATTTTATTTCAAATGACGCTTCATTTTAATAGACGCTAGTAATTCATTTATTTGTATTTGTTAATCAATAATATAATACTTACGTTTATCAATAATAATATACTACGCAAGGAACTTCGTTCCAACCGAGTGTTCCACGACACTCGCGCATTTTTTCTGTAGAAACAAGTGGAAGTATATTTATAATTAAGCTAAATTTCTGATATTTAAATTTTCTGATTATTCTTTTATTTTTTATTTTTAGGTTTCCACGTCCAAGCCATGAAAACAAGGAAAAATTGAATAAATTCATCCATTTTTCACTTTCACCTGCCCAGCATTTATGAACGACTCTTATTCTAATATAAATAAATATAATGGTAAATTATATATTATACCAATAAGTTTTGTCACACATATATTTAGTATGTTTTTTTTATTATATTTTACATAGTTACAATTTTTATATTTGAAATAGTTAAAATTGTGCCAAAGCGAAATACAAGTCAGTTCCTAGCGACCTGAATCGAGAGAAGTATAGATTAGTACGGAATCGTTGCAACAATCTGTGTAGAAAAGCACAACGACGCCATATCCATGAATCAGTACAAGATCCTGACCCTGCTAGGGTCTGGAAATTTCTTAAGTCTTTAGGAGTTGGGAAATTACGACGAAATTTCACTCACCATAACTTTGATCTCAATCAACTTAATTTGCATTTCTCATCTTCGTCTTGCATTAACGATAAAGCAAAACACAATACTTTGGATTCTCTTTCAAAAGCTCCCGCTCCGGACACCTCTGCTTTTAATTTTAGTCAATTTAACAGTTGTAATGTTATGAAAGCCATAATGTCCATCCATTCAAATTCAATTGGTAGTGACTGCATTAGTCGGAAAATGGTCATCCCTCTCATTGATATCCTTTCACTTGTAATCACTTCCATACTGAATAATTCACTGAATTATTCTATTTTCCCTTCAGCTTGGAACGATTCATTTGTAGTTCCTCTTCCGAAAAAGTCGAATCCGTCTAGTTTTTCTGATTATAGACCTATCTCTCTCTTGCCTTTCCTTTCCAAAGTTCTTTAACGGCGTGTTGTCTCCTCTCCTGTTTGCAATTTTCATTAACTCTATAAGTCATAATCTGTCCTCTTCCTATCACTTGTCTCTTGAAATTTTGTCTAAATCAGTTGACACTATTAACGCTGATCTGACTTGTATTTCGAATTGGAGTAAACGTTATGGTTTAACGATTAATCCTAAGAAACCTCAGACCATTATCATCGGTAGTTCTAGATTTATTGGAAAAATTGACTGGTCTTCCTACCTCCTCTTTTACTAGACTGCACTCAAATCCTTTACCGTAACAAGGTTAAAAACCTGGGGTTGTATCTCGACTCTTGTATGTCTTGGACCTCACAGATTAATGAGGTTAGTAGAAAATGTTTGCTGCTTTAAGCTCTTTACGTAGATTACGTAATTTTCTTCCCATAGTAACTAAAGTTACGCTCGCCCAGTCTCTACTTCTACCTATCCTTGACTATGCTGACATATGCTATCTTGACATTACCGAGGATCAGCTTAATAAGCTTGAGCGCATTAAAAATGTATGTATTAGATTCATAAAAATATGAATCTAATACATACATTTTGAATGCGCAGAGATGTGATCATATTTGCAAAGCCCAAAGGCTTTGCAAATATGATCACATCTCTGAATTTCGCAAACAGCTCAAATGGCTCCCGATCCCCCTTCTCAGGAATACTCACATTCTCTCCACTTTGTATGGCGTGCTGTTTAATCCTTCCACTCCTCATTATTTAAAAGACCGTTTCCAGTATCTTCCCCTTACCCTTAATCGGTTCCTTCGATCCTCTGTCAATCTTTCTCTCTCTACTCCTTCGCACTCTTCCTCCTTTTTTTAAGAAATCCTTTACTGTACCTGCTGTACATTTGTGGAACTCTTTACCTTTCCATATTCGTCGTGCTCAATCTCTTCATTCTTTCAAAAGTCTTGTTAAATCGTATTACTTAGAACGCTATAAGATAAACCACTTTTCCTTGTTCGTACTCTTTTCATTTAATCTATTATATAATATCATACATAATCTTCACCTGTCTTTATTTGTATACATATTTTATTTTTTATTTTGTACGCCCCCCTCTATTTTTAACCATTGTTTGCATCAGTTCTCTACACTAAGGTTGTTTGGAAGAAATCACTTTCAGAGTGATAAGACCGACTGTTGTACATTTTCTAATTTAGATTTAACTGTATTCGTTTAGTTTTGTTCTTTTGGTGTACAATAAAGAGTAAATAAATAAATAAACCTTTTACCTTTTAAATTATTCAAATAAAAATATAATTTAAATGTAATTGTGATATAATATTATGTAATATTATATTAAATTAGCACATATATGCAAAATAAATGACAAATATTAAAAATTGTACACGATATAATTTACATAATTAATAATACAATCTATTATTACATACTGATCATTCTGCCTACGCTTAATCTATGATAAAAACCAACCGCGCATGCGCTACACTACTCTTCCCTGCGCACGCGCGAAGGCATGAGGAGCGCACATTTTTTGTTTGAAATAGCTGTTCTAGTACGTAAGTGCATATTACTTCAATGTTTGTTATTTAAAAATTTTGTGCACGATGTCTGATCAGAATTGAAAGTAAATTAAGCGTTATGCAAACAAAAATCACAAAATCATCTAAACACTTTCTGCAGGTTTTCTACAATAGAAGAAGGAAAACTTTTGACAATATTGTGGTAAGTCTTTAAGCATTTTGAATTTATTGATTGTTATTTGTAGGGATTAGTACTATATTAACTAGAATTTTATCTGTTTCAGTTCATGTATTTGGACTGAGTTACGTTTTCACCATGAGAATTTTGCTGATTTAAATTTACGTTAATGTTCTGTGAAGAGTAACTCTCAGGCTCAGAAGGGCTAGAACCCAGAGCCGTAAAGCCAGTTAAAAAAAACGATAACATATTATCACGGAAGTATAGACAAACTGGAACCCACACTCCTAATATCAACATTAGGAATAATCAAATGACCTTGAGTAGCCCCTGTTTTCCCTACAGGATAGCCAGCGTGATGACTGATATTACCCCATTGACAGCCATTATGAATTTCAGTATAAGTTTAATTGTCAGTATGGCAAGAATTATAAGTAAAAATTGATAACAAAAGTTGACAAAATGATTTTCACGCAAGTTTTTGCTTTTTCTTTTAAACACTTAATAAAGATTTACTATGAACTATTTGCCTAGCTTCCTACATATTTCCCCTGTTTTAAATTTATTCTTAAAAGCCGTTATATGACAACCCAAAATCTATTTGTCAAATAATTTTTACTGTACATGGCGGATGCTTCTATATAGTTTGTGGGCAGATATATAGTTTCGGGGCACCCTGTCTAACCGAGGCACGTAAGGTATAGACGAGTTGCAAGCGACAAGCGCACGGATATAGAAGATAAGCTGCTTCATCTTATGACACAGCGCTTGAAGACGAACTGAAAGTTGAAGCGCAAAATGAACATGAAAGCGCACTATTGTAGACATAGTTTTTGTCGTTTTGCATCGTACATGACCTTGGCGGGACGTAGTCAAGATCTATCACCAGGGTGACCAATTTGACGAGTTTCCCGTCAGAAATTGATGGAGAAAGAGATCTTTAGCCGCGAATATAGGAATTTGGTCGCATTTTTTTAATCCGCGAATAGTGAAAACGTGAATGAAGGAAGCGCGAATGAGGAGCTTTCACTGTACGTAGAACCATCGTGTTTGAACTCATTTTCAAATAGGTAAATGGAGACCAAGATGACTGTTATAATATCACCTTTATGTTGGTCCAATCCGAAGGTGAGTATAGGATCTCAGTGATGACACTAGATAGAAGGATCGTGTTTGAACTCATTTGAAAGGGCTCATAAAGACCTAGGTGACTGTTGTGACCTCACCTTTTTGATTGTGCAATCCGAAGGTGGATATAGGATCTCAGTGGCGGCACTAGATTGAACAATCGTGTTTGAACTCATTTAAAAAGGGACCCTAATTATTTTTCTAAATTAAAAGTACCCTAAGTTCCTCCTTATAATATCAGCTATCTGCCACTGAAAGTCTTGTCAAAATTGGTTCAGCCGATTCGGAGATTAGCCGGAACAAACAGACAGACAGACAGAAAGACAGACAAAAATTTTAAAAATTAAGTTTGTTATAAGTACTGTATGTACTTTCATATGTATTTAGTAAAAAACTGTTATTTTGACATTACAAACAGACACTTTAATTTTATTTATTTGTATAGATATACGGGGTTATCACATTAAATGAAACGACTTATCCTATATTACGTTCTTTGAACATACACAACTAAAAAATATATAACAATTAACATTCTAGTCGCAAAAGCCCTTTTGTTCGTTTTCCGCCTAATTACTTATGAACGGGAAAGTGTAGGTAAATAATTACCTATGTCGATGACACGTGAGCACTGCGTACCTGCCGACTCGTTGCCGCTTTTACATGTCACTTCGGGTCAGAAAACTAATATCATCAACTTGATTTATTTCGTGTCAATTTTTACGCTATTTATTTTGTTTGAAAGATGCATTTTTTATTTTTGGTAGAATTGTTTATTTTATTATTTAAATCGACATATATGAACTTGTATATACCGCTGTGTTATTTAATGTGATAACCTAATCGCCACCCAGTATATTAATAGACAGGAAATGATATTAAATAAGATTTACGACAATTAAGAACAAAAGAACTTAACCTAACAACAACGAAACAACAAAAATAGAACAAAAAAAATAATTTATTTAAAATTTAAAAAGATATTTACAGTTTTATATAAAAAAAATGAAGTATGATGATGATAATGGGTGACGTGAATTACAATTATTTTAAAAAAGATAATAAAGATAGATGAGTACTGAAGCGGAGCCCGAAGACCAAAGTGGCACACCGCGCTTGGCGGTGGTGCTCACCGCTCACGGAGTATGCACAGGCTGTGCCTGTGGTAGGCGCGCAGCGCCTGGTCTAGGCACACGCAGCGCCTGGAGTAGGCACACGCAGCGCTTGGAGTAGTTACACACAGCGCCTGGTCTAGGCACACGCAGCGCCTGGAGTAGGCACACGCAGCGCTTGGAGTAGGCACACACAGCGCCTGGAGTAGGCACACGCAGCGTCTGGAGTAGGCACACGCTGCGCCTGGAGTAGGCACACGCAGCGCTTGGAGTAGGCACAAATTGCGCCTGGAGTAGACACACGCAGCGCCTGGAGTAGGCACACGTTGCGTCTGGAGTAGGCACACACAGCGCCTTGAGTAGGCGCTCTCAGCGCCTGGAGTAAGCGCTCGCAGCGCCTGGAGCAAGCACGCACAGCGGCTAAAGATAGCGCGGGCACTAGTAGGTGGAGGCGTGGGCGTGGCTAGGCGACGACTTCAGGTGAAGGTAGAGGCTTGCAGGATCCCGGGGCAGTGCGGCCCCGGGATAAGGCCTTTAGGAGATGCTTCAAGTTTGAAAGCTGAAGCGAGACTGAGTTTATTGGCCGATTGTTCGGCTTTTATACCTTTTTAGAGAGCTCCGCGCTCGACGGCGGATCTGGGATAAGAACGGAAAATTATTTAAATTAAAAGCAAATTTTTGTAAATGGCCAAGAGGAAAAGAGTATTTTTGTGGAAGTATTGAAGTAAAAACATCAGACCGGTAACGAATTTGAATAAAAATTGCCATGACAACCAGATAAACAACGATGTCAAAACATGTCAAATTTTGGTTTCAGGCTCGTAATAGAGAAACGGCAAGATTTAAGTGAAAAATGAGATATTATTGATATAGGAAAAAAGGTAGCGCACCAGCGCGCACGAAGCCCGAAATTGCAGAGTTACGGAGAACTAAATAAAAGATCGAAAAAGGTAGAATCCATCGACGCCGATTTAAAAAGTGCTGATAGCGTGAAAATACGAAGTGAAAATGATTTGTTATTGTGTTCTTATGGTTTAAAAACGTTACAGGATCCTATAGAAATAAAGGTGATGCAAAATGACCAATATACTATACTTTATTTACACTATATTATGTTTTTCATTTTTCCCCAGATTATTTATTTGCTTATTATCTTAAAAAGAAATGTAATCTTGTATAGTATATCTCTGTGATATTAAAATCACTATAATCTATTAAACTTAGTACTACTTTACTTACTGTGAGTTTTGGCAGGAGCTTGACCATAGACGGATGGTTGCTCCTGTTTTATCGTTTAAATAATCGTTTGAAGTGGATTTTTATCAAAGTGATGCGATTATGTGTATTAATGGTCTGCACATGTGAGCTATTAGAGAAAACGACTAAATAAGTGCTTCGATGTTGGTATAAGCCTCAAGTTATTTTAATCGCTTAGGCGTCTTATGATTTACTTCCGTGCTATCAGAAATAGCTGTTAAATATTTGATTTCTTCAGCTGCATCCGTAGCATCTGAACGAATTACTTCTACAATCAATCTTTTAGTGCCCAATAATCGCAGAATATTGGGCACAGAAATAAAACAACGAGTATTTTTGAAAACTCTTACTGAAAAATATTGGTAAACATAATTGTCTTATTTAAATTAAACAATAATTAAAGTTACAGCCTTATACGTCCCAATGCTGGGCACTCCTCAGCTGGGCAGGCCTCTCCTAATTTCTGAGAGGGTTTTAGGGAAACGTCCGCCGCGCTGCCCAATGCGTGTTGGCGAACTTCACGTTTTTTGAAATTTTGATTTTATTTCTCAGACATGCAGGGTTCCTCACGGTGTTTTCCTTCATCGTCGAGCACGTGGTAAATCAGTACTTAAAATTGCAATTAACAATTTCATTGGCGCCGGCGGGGATCGAACCCGGGTTTCTCGCGTACTGTGAAATTTACAGCGAGCGCTAACCATCTGAGCTACCACGGCTCATTAATAATTCCTAAGAATTATAACCTAACATTTTCATTCATTTATAATTTAATTTGTTTAATAAATATACTAAATTATAAAGTGTGTAAATCATTTTTAAGCAATAAGCATCGATATATCGCTTATGTATATCTCACGTAAGGAAATATAGATTACGAAATTAATTTGTTCAGATGCGACGATTCTGTAGATAATGAAGTGTGAGAATACTTGTGCATAATATTATATGTTTTTTGCAACGAAATTCCTTATCGGATGGTACGGGTTTGGTGGATGGGAGCTAGACGACAAAAAGTTTAAGATGTTTTCGTCACTACCCCTTGTGTCATAACAAAGAATATATACACTACGCGAAGTCATAATGTAGACGTCCTTGGCGGCGAAATAAAGAAGTGAGATGGAATAATATCCATCTCCCTTGCACTTTTTCTTATCTTGCCAAGAAAGAAATATTTTATTTCAAATGACGCTTCATTTTAATAGACGCTAGTAATTCATTTATTTGTATTTGTTAATCAATAATATAATACTTACGTTTATCAATAATAATATACTACGCAAGGAACTTCGTTCCAACCGAGTGTTCCACGACACTCGCGCATTTTTTCTGTAGAAACAAGTGGAAGTATATTTATAATTAAGCTAAATTTCTGATATTTAAATTTTCTGATTATTCTTTTATTTTTTATTTTTAGGTTTCCACGTCCAAGCCATGAAAACAAGGAAAAATTGAATAAATTCATCCATTTTTCACTTTCACCTGCCAAGCATTTATGAACGACTCTTATTCTAATATAAATAAATATAATGGTAAATTATATATTATACCAATAAGTTTTGTCACACATATATTTAGTATGTTTTTTTTATTATATTTTACATAGTTACAATTTTTATATTTGAAATAGTTAAAATTGTGCCAAAGCGAAATACAAGTCAGTTCCTAGCGACCTGAATCGAGAGAAGTATAGATTAGTACGGAATCGTTGCAACAATCTGTGTAGAAAAGCACAACGACGCCATATCCATGAATCAGTACAAGATCCTGACCCTGCTAGGGTCTGGAAATTTCTTAAGTCTTTAGGAGTTGGGAAATTACGACGAAATTTCACTCACCATAACTTTGATCTCAATCAACTTAATTTGCATTTCTCATCTTCGTCTTGCATTAACGATAAAGCAAAACACAATACTTTGGATTCTCTTTCAAAAGCTCCCGCTCCGGACACCTCTGCTTTTAATTTTAGTCAATTTAACAGTTGTAATGTTATGAAAGCCATAATGTCCATCCATTCAAATTCAATTGGTAGTGACTGCATTAGTCGGAAAATGGTCATCCCTCTCATTGATATCCTTTCACTTGTAATCACTTCCATACTGAATAATTCACTGAATTATTCTATTTTCCCTTCAGCTTGGAACGATTCATTTGTAGTTCCTCTTCCGAAAAAGTCGAATCCGTCTAGTTTTTCTGATTATAGACCTATCTCTCTCTTGCCTTTCCTTTCCAAAGTTCTTTAACGGCGTGTTGTCTCCTCTCCTGTTTGCAATTTTCATTAACTCTATAAGTCATAATCTGTCCTCTTCCTATCACTTGTCTCTTGAAATTTTGTCTAAATCAGTTGACACTATTAACGCTGATCTGACTTGTATTTCGAATTGGAGTAAACGTTATGGTTTAACGATTAATCCTAAGAAACCTCAGACCATTATCATCGGTAGTTCTAGATTTATTGGAAAAATTGACTGGTCTTCCTACCTCCTCTTTTACTAGACTGCACTCAAATCCTTTACCGTAACAAGGTTAAAAACCTGGGGTTGTATCTCGACTCTTGTATGTCTTGGACCTCACAGATTAATGAGGTTAGTAGAAAATGTTTGCTGCTTTAAGCTCTTTACGTAGATTACGTAATTTTCTTCCCATAGTAACTAAAGTTACGCTCGCCCAGTCTCTACTTCTACCTATCCTTGACTATGCTGACATATGCTATCTTGACATTACCGAGGATCAGCTTAATAAGCTTGAGCGCATTAAAAATGTATGTATTAGATTCATAAAAATATGAATCTAATACATACATTTTGAATGCGCAGAGATGTGATCATATTTGCAAAGCCCAAAGGCTTTGCAAATATGATCACATCTCTGAATTTCGCAAACAGCTCAAATGGCTCCCGATCCCCCTTCTCAGGAATACTCACATTCTCTCCACTTTGTATGGCGTGCTGTTTAATCCTTCCACTCCTCATTATTTAAAAGACCGTTTCCAGTATCTTCCCCTTACCCTTAATCGGTTCCTTCGATCCTCTGTCAATCTTTCTCTCTCTACTCCTTCGCACTCTTCCTCCTTTTTTTAAGAAATCCTTTACTGTACCTGCTGTACATTTGTGGAACTCTTTACCTTTCCATATTCGTCGTGCTCAATCTATTCATTCTTTCAAAAGTCTTGTTAAATCGTATTACTTAGAACGCTATAAGATAAACCACTTTTCCTTGTTCGTACTCTTTTCATTTAATCTATTATATAATATCATACATAATCTTCACCTGTCTTTATTTGTATACATATTTTATTTTTTATTTTGTACGCCCCCCTCTATTTTTAACCATTGTTTGCATCAGTTCTCTACACTAAGGTTGTTTGGAAGAAATCACTTTCAGAGTGATAAGACCGACTGTTGTACATTTTCTAATTTAGATTTAACTGTATTCGTTTAGTTTTGTTCTTTTGGTGTACAATAAAGAGTAAATAAATAAATAAACCTTTTACCTTTTAAATTATTCAAATAAAAATATAATTTAAATGTAATTGTGATATAATATTATGTAATATTATATTAAATTAGCACATATATGCAAAATAAATGACAAATATTAAAAATTGTACACGATATAATTTACATAATTAATAATACAATCTATTATTACATACTGATCATTCTGCCTACGCTTAATCTATGATAAAAACCAACCGCGCATGCGCTACACTACTCTTCCCTGCGCACGCGCGAAGGCATGAGGAGCGCACATTTTTTGTTTGAAATAGCTGTTCTAGTACGTAAGTGCATATTACTTCAATGTTTGTTATTTAAAAATTTTGTGCACGATGTCTGATCAGAATTGAAAGTAAATTAAGCGTTATGCAAACAAAAATCACAAAATCATCTAAACACTTTCTGCAGGTTTTCTACAATAGAAGAAGGAAAACTTTTGACAATATTGTGGTAAGTCTTTAAGCATTTTGAATTTATTGATTGTTATTTGTAGGGATTAGTACTATATTAACTAGAATTTTATCTGTTTCAGTTCATGTATTTGGACTGAGTTACGTTTTCACCATGAGAATTTTGCTGATTTAAATTTACGTTAATGTTCTGTGAAGAGTAACTCTCAGGCTCAGAAGGGCTAGAACCCAGAGCCGTAAAGCCAGTTAAAAAAAACGATAACATATTATCACGGAAGTATAGACAAACTGGAACCCACACTCCTAATATCAACATTAGGAATAATCAAATGACCTTGAGTAGCCCCTGTTTTCCCTACAGGATAGCCAGCGTGATGACTGATATTACCCCATTGACAGCCATTATGAATTTCAGTATAAGTTTAATTGTCAGTATGGCAAGAATTATAAGTAAAAATTGATAACAAAAGTTGACAAAATGATTTTCACGCAAGTTTTTGCTTTTTCTTTTAAACACTTAATAAAGATTTACTATGAACTATTTGCCTAGCTTCCTACATATTTCCCCTGTTTTAAATTTATTCTTAAAAGCCGTTATATGACAACCCAAAATCTATTTGTCAAATAATTTTTACTGTACATGGCGGATGCTTCTATATAGTTTGTGGGCGGATGTTTATGTTCATTTCGCAAGTTTGTTTTTGAATTTTGGAATAATGCAGAGGCAAAACTAGTAAAATGGTCATTAAATGTATTGTGCGCGATTGCAAAAGTGAGTGGCATCCAGAATGTAATATTATATTTCATTCGTAAGTACAAAACACCATGCAAATACTGCGTGTCATGTGAAACTAATTTTTAGTGATATTTCGAATTTAATTGCTGTTATTTCTGTATAGACCAATGGGTATTTTGGTTTAGATGTTAATTTTGGTTCGGTATTTCCAATTTTATTTCGCTATTTGCTTAATAATTAACGATTCATGTTTGTATTATAACTTTGACTAGAGTGACCATACATTGTAATGTATTTTATTTTAATTACAAACGGAAAAGGTTTTCTCGAATGGTCTCTCTGCTCGATTTGCGTGAAATTTCGAAATGTTGTTTACAAGAATGATGATACACAGAAACATCAAAATTAAAATAATTATATATCTTTTATTACTTAATTTTTTGCAGGTTTCCTTCCAATCTAACAGAACCTAATAAATGGTTAAACAATGTGGAGCTAAAAATAGCCTTTTTTGAAAAAGCAAAGATTTGTAATCTATTTCATATCAACCAATTACATGATTACTGTGAAACCGCTGAGACAAGGAGTCACACCGTTTCTAAATGAAATAGCAGATTGTTGTGTGGTACAGGTATGAGCTTTTGTTAGGTACTTGTTATTTCTTAATTCAAAGCGATGTTTTGTTTCCAAGGAAAGAAAAGTAATTTAAAAAAAAATTGCAGAAAAAATTTTTTGAGAAAGAAAGAAAAATGCATTCTGTTACCTAGAAAGCAGGAACAGCTTGATATGTTATATCACTAGGCTATAATTTGTAAAAATAATTACAAGCTATTTTGTACATATTTTGCTAAGTTTTTAATTGTATTTAATTTTTAAAATTTCAAATTGCGGTCTCAGGAAATCCATTTTTTTGATAAATTGTACGATAAGTGTGACAAATTGAAAAATAAAATGTTCATGACAAATTATATGTAGTAGAGCCATGCTGCAGCTATATTTCTGGTATAGTTGTAACACGAATGGATCAGCTCGACTGGGGAAGGACCACGCTCTCACAGAATACCAGCGTAAAATAGCAGCTTAATGCTGCTGTGTTTCTTATGGTGAGTGTAGAGACCGGAGACCCTTTTTACTGGAAACGAGGCATTCCATCTTAGTCCTCACGGGTGACAACGCATCTGCATTTTGATTCGTAATCGAGGATAAATGTAAATGTCTATGGGTCACAGCAACCAATTACCATCAGGTAGACTGTGTGCTCGTTTGTCACCCTTATCCTATAAAAAAAAACAAAATAGTAATGACATTTTAATTATATCGGCATGGTTTGTTGGTCTATTAAATTGTTAACTACATATTATGACTAAATTTTTTCAGTGTTTCTGTTTTTTAAAGTTCAATTGTGATTTTGGTTCTGACTATAGCATTTTCACAACTAACTAGTCCATTATAAAAATATTCGTTGTAAGAGCTCTTTACTCTTTCAGGTCATGGACAAAAGCACTTCCTCCATTCAAATATTTTGCGCTGATAAGTGTGCAAGCAAGGATTAATTTATCACAAAAAGAAGAACTAATTATTAACATTACATTTTACTCGTCAAAAGCGTACAAGTTTATTAAACAATATGCAACTTTGCCAAACGTTGAGACCTTAAGACGCTCTTTGGCCTTCTTTAATTGCATTGTAGAGCTTTTTATCTGATCCAAACCCGATCTCAAATACAGATGATACAGTACAACTATATTAAAAATGTATTAATCAATATTATTATTCATCACTTCACACCACAGTTATGACCAATGTTTTATTTATACGTATTCTATAGTGTATTCTATACGTGGTAGAGCCAAGCTGCAGCAATATTAGTAGTATAGTTGTAGTACGAATGGGACGGCTCGACCGGGGAAGGACCACGCTCTCACAGAATGCCAGCGTAAAATAACAGTTTAACGCTGTTGTGTTTCGTATGGTGAGTGTAGAGAACCGGAGACCCTTTTTACTGGAAAAGAGGCATTCTGATGCATTTTGATTTGTAATAGAGGATAGATGTAAATGTCTTTTGATCGCACAATAAATAATAAATAAATATAGGCCGCAGTAACCACTTACCATCAGTTGGACTGTGTGCTCGTTTGTCATCCTTATTCTATAACAAAAAACCAGCCTATGGATGACAGTATTAATTGCTCTTAATTTCATTAATCCAGATTTTTAAATTTTGTTTTATAGGATAGGGTGACAAACGAGCACACAGTCCACTTGATGGTAAATGGTTGCTGTGAATTTCAAACTCTTTTTTGACAATGTGTCTCAGAACACATCTAAAAAAAATTATGGACTAAAAGTTGAATGCTATTCGTACCAAGTGACAAAAACTTCACAAAACTATTCAATCATGTATAAAAATTGAGTTGTTGTAAAAACCTTCACCTCTAATTATTATTGTATATTTTAAATTTGTAGACACTATTGCTATTGTAATAATAAATGTAAATAAAAACGATTATTATTTTAGTTTTATTATTTCCTAATGTTACATTATAAGAGATGTAAAGACAGTCTCCCGAAAACTTTAACCATGAATCATCATCCTGAGTAGGTACTGAAGAATTTTCTTTGTGGAAATTAAAAAAAAATTGACTTCCCATACAAAATTGGTCACGTGACCGATACATTTTGTATGGGAAATCGAATTTTTTGTTCATTTTCGGACAAAAATATTTTAGTTTTAGTTAAAGTTTTGTATATAGAGCCAGTTCACTCGTTTATTCGTTTATTGATAAAAAAAGTACACGAATAAATAATATTAATTAATAAACTTCCGCCCTCAGGATCGACCTTATGAATTTCTCTAATATCATGCGTTTCAATGGAACTCTACTATTTTCAATTAAATTAAAATTTTATAAATGAATATAATAAAAATAATCCCAAATTCTTGTATTTTGTGTTCACCCTAATTAGAAAGAGACTGAGGGGTAATGAAAAGTTTCAAGGTCGTTTTCTTGTATTTTTTATGTCATTCGAAAGTGCGGGTTCCAGTTTGTACGAAGTACATGTATTTCCATGCATATTATTATTATGTTATTAATAAATATTATGTGTGGAAATAATATCTGCAAAAGCAATAAAAAACATCAATAATAATATATAGTGTATAAAACAATCTCTTCTAAAAAATAAAATTACATAACTATACATACCTATTTTTAGTTTTATTTTATTTTTATCCCACATACTCATCTAAAGTAAATTCGAGTTATTTTGGTGCAGCCTCTCTAATGTGTGGGAATTCACCCAATAGGTTTGTGAGGTTCGAGCCAAAATTACTCGAATTTGCCTTAAATAAAAAGTTTTGTCACAGAAAACAAAGGTTTGAAATTCCCGCTAAAAAGTTTTATATGGGCGTCCACTGTAGCGCTTTTAGTGTACACTCATAAACACGTGTTTCCTTTTTTTAGTATGAAGTTGGCGTTCATCTCTTGGTAGAGAGTAATTGTGTTCTTTGTTCACAACTAATAAGTAGTGCTAGCGCAGTCATAGCACGGAATATAAGTCATAGAATAGTCATAAACCCCTTTAGGGATATATATGTTCTGTGGTCATAGATAATATACTATATAGAGTGGAGTTTTGCCGGGAAATTGACCGGCGGCGGTTTGCTGCTCCTGTATTATTGTTTAAATAATGGTTTGAAGTGGACTTTGATATGTAAAAGTGTTGCGATTTTGTGTATTAAGTGTCTACGCATGTGAACTATTAGTGGAAACAGTGAAACAAGTGCTCTGATGGTGATGGATTCTCAAGATAAGCTGTTTGTTTGCATAGGCACCTTTAGATACCATCGCCAACTGTCAGCTGTCTGCTGGATCAAGTTGCCGCCAAAATCTCCCAAGAACTGCACAATGTGACGCATCAACATATTGTGAAGCAGTATACTATGAAGGAGTGGGGAAATTACAATAAACCGAATAAAAATACTTAAGACTTGGCCTAAAGGTCTAGATACCAGGCCATAAACTCCAAAAAAAAATACTATATAGAGTTATTTATGTACTTACACTTTTACATTATAAGGCCCGCCACATACATACGGAATTCCGTTTCGGAATACCGAACGGGTCGGCCACACACATACGGAATACCGTTTTGCCCGCAAAATTTCGAACGGAAAACTACCGTACGTGTGTGACGGGCCATAGATTTTATATGAACTTGCTGCGTTCGGAATCTCGAATCGGAATATCGAAACGGAATCCCGAAACGGAATTCCGTATTAATGGGGCCTTATATTCTTTGTAATTCCTGTATAGGACAGTTACTATACTCTAGTAGTTATTTTCACTAAAAAATTGCAGGTGGGCTGACTATAGATGGAGCTATTGGGTTATGAATAAAAATTTATTTTATTTCATATGAAGTTGACGTTCTTCTCCGCCAGGAGTAATAGTCAGTTATAGTGCCACCAACTTATCTGTTCAGTTGACAGCGTCGCTAGTGGGGCGCTTACTATTGCCATTTAAGAAATTCACCGAGGAAATAGGTGACTACATATTCATTACATAAAACAAATTTCGTGTTAATATATTAAAATTAGTGAGTAGTGTTATTATTTATATTTTATAAAAATAATTGTGGTCGTGATCTCGGAGTTCAATCGGCCAAATTCCAGGAATTTCTGTTTTGAAAAATGTACCCGCGTAGCTAACGCGACTCAATAATTCCAATAATTCATCTTCTGAGTCACTAGAATAGCTTTTACCATTGCTGACACTCTATAATAAAGGGTTCATTTAAATACGCGTCTTTTAGTCTGTATTCATTTTCAATTTTTTTTTACATGATTACAAATGTTTTTCCACTGCACCGGTGTAATTTTATGATATTAATCTTCAATTAATTGGGGCATTAGAACATTAGCAACACAAACTACAAATCTAGGTACTTAGATGAATTGCAGTAAATTGAGATATTTTTTTTACTATGTTTCACAAGTACATTATTTGGTGACTTTAATTTTCCATATCTGGCAATACTAATCTGTCGCGGCAGTTACGCGTTCATACAGCTTTTCAAATGGTATATTTGGGACTTGTACACGTTTCTCTTGTTTCATAAAAAATAAAACTTTTAGGATAATCTACCGCGCATCACTTTTAAGACCTTTAGGCATTTTATTTACACTTTTTAAAAGCACTCACCTGATAGCTCAGAATAATTAATAACTGACAGCAAAATGTCATTTACAAAATGGCGGCTTTAGTTCCAATTTTGTCCACCTGAACAGATAAGTTGGTGGCACTATACTATACGCTTTGGTAATAGTGTTCTGTGGTTATTTTTCCGAAGCTAGCACAGAGTACTTTTTTCCTGTATAGGACAGTTACTATACTCTTTGGTACTTTTTTATATAGGGTAGATGCTAGTCATCATATTAGGTACGACTTTCCATTGACGTCGGTCGAGTTTGGTGTTGATACGTATTTTACTGAAAGATTACATTTTTATAAGCACACACACAAAGTTTCAATATGCGGAAACACGTACTTATTGAGAAAAAAATATTGTAAATCAAATAATTTTGCAATATTTAGTCAATTCCTACCGTGAAACTGACGCCATTTTTATTATTATTGTCAGTAGGGATGTCGATTCTTTCCGAAAAAGATCGATTTTTTAAACAGATTCTAATTGTAAGCTGATGTATCGATTCCCAAAAAATCGATTTCTAAAATAACAATATTTTTTTCATGTTTGCATTTATAATATAAATATAAATCGATTTTATGAGAAAAAATCCCCTTCATCATAAAAAAATAAGGGGACTGATTCAGAAGGATTTCTGTATCTATTTTGAGACTGCTACGTCTCCGGCGCTGCGGGAAGAGCAGCCTATACGCCTTAGCGTAACAAATCGCAGGCATCCCTCCTCGCCTCCGCAGTTTCGGCTTGTCAGCCGCTCCGGCTCGTTCGATGCCTACGATTTGTTACAGCAGGCGGAGGCTGCTCCCCCTACGCGCCGTCTGGCTCTATAAAACCACTCTAGGGGTAGGACAGCCTCGTACCAGGTGGAGTCGGGGTCAATCAATTCGGTTCTTTGACATAAGTTGAACCTAACCTATTTTATTTGTTATCTGCCCTGATAGGTACTGTTAAATAAAACAAATTTCAATAAGAGATCATGTATCTTTCTTGTTTTTCATAAAATGGGTTTATATTTACATTATAAATAGAAACATTAAAAAAATATAGATCTTTTAGAAATCGATTTTTTGTGAACCGATACATCAGCTTACGATTTGAATCGATTTAAAATCGACCTTTTTCGGAAAGAATCGACATCCCTATTGACGTCGACAATGACATTACAAAATGGCGCCAGTTTTATGGTAGGATTAGACATAAAGATTGCAAGAATAATTGATATTCAATAATTCTTTTCTCAAAAATTACGCGTTTCCGCATGTTGAAACTTTGTGTGTGTACTTATAATAGTGTAACTTTTCTGTAAAAAAAACGTATCAACACTAAACTCGACTGACGTCAATGGAAAGCTAAGCCAACAAGTATTTAATCAAATAAATTAATTTATTATGAGTAAAGATCTATGTACCGATAATGTTTATGAACTTATATGTGAGGACTCGTCAAATAACCGAAAAAAATTGTTTGAAAAGGCTTTATTTTATGCAAAATATGGTAAAGTGCTATACATATTACAAGAAGAATTGAATGAATTACCTGAACTGTCACAAGACTTGAGTTCACTCAATAGGCATTATATGAAAATGATAAGCTTCCTTTACGCAAGGAGTTTAAACTCACTAATAGAAAGTATTTCCACATTACCTGATTGGAAACATGTTCCAAATACAATAATTTTAGATAACCTTAATGGTTATTGTAATAAAAATAACTTGCACAAGGCCTGTGGAATTGTTGCCTTACTTTTAGATACAGTTCAGAGCTGTTCTAATACTTTAAATAAAAAATGTCAATTATACATTTCTGTTGACAAACAAGCTGTAGGAGAAGGGTACTGTACTTTGCTACAAGAAATGTACCTACTAAAAATTGTTAAATGAAAACTATAAAATACTTTTAATTACATAAAAAGACTTGTTAAATATTATATAATTTATTAAATATTATAGTCAATATATTTATAACTTTTATTTATAAAAATTCTTCCTTATTAGTTCTCTAAATTCAAATATATTATTATGACTCAAAATCAAATATTTTAATTTTTTATTGTTATTTGCTTATAACAAATAGCTATTTGATTAAAGTCAAAGCTATGCCATTACTTCAACAATTCCATACTGCGGGGAGACTTAATAGTTCAAGGTATCTAGAATGTCCTCTAAATATTAATGTTAGAAACTTCATTGAAGTATAAAATGTAGAATCAATTGTTTCACAATACATGTTAAAATACAGTACAAAAATACAGTTAAATTGAGGACCTCTTCTTTTCTTGAGGTCTACTAAAAAGAGGTCTTATAGAGGCATGAGAGCTTGTAATTTGACAGTCAAATCAACATTGAGTGTTTGATCTGCCCTTCATGTGCTAGTGTGGCATTCTGAATGCTTTGCTAATATACATTACGAAAATTATACAACAAATTATTGATTTTCTGTACTTTTTCTATATGTCATTCAGTTTCATTTAACTTTAATTTTATTTTTATTAATCAAGTCTACTATCCTAGTTCTTAAGGCAAATCAAATGAATGTTCAGACTGGTCAGCTTTATTTTTTTTATTGCAGCAAGCCGGGCTCTGTAAAAGCTATATGAAATTGCAAGTTTGTAGCAACTTGCACTAACTGCTGCTACAAACATTAAATAAGTCTGCCAATAACCCATATGGTGTGCTGACTAGACTTAATCTTGAATTGCATGTGCATGCATAAGTAAAGATGTGCTCGCCAGCTCCATGACCCATTGCATTTATATCTTTAATGTAGTGGTGAGTTACTTAACACATTTCTGAAGCAAAAGTATGGGTTTTTATTATGCTGAGTATATAGACTTAAATTGTACTTTTTTTTATTACTTTACAAGTAGGCTTTATATACAGTAATTGACTGCCTCGTTGGTCTAGTGGTTGTAGTAGTGCGACTGCTGATCATGAGGTCCCAGGTTCGAATCCCAGGTCGGGCCAAAAAAATCAGTTATTGAGTGTTTCTATCAAGAAATTCTCAGTAGCTGCCTGGAGTCAGCAAGTTGGCGGTGTCTCAACCCCGTGCCTCGGAAAGCACGTTAAGCCGTTGGTCCTGCGCCTGATCTCTCTCCGGTCGTGTCGGTTTACCGTCCCATTGGACTATGAGAGCGAGTGATTAGAGAGTGCACCTGTGCTTGTGCATACACTTGGGCACTATAATCCTGTCCTGTGCAGATGACTAGTCTCCTTTGAGGCTGGTCTCCGATGAGGCTGGTCTCCGATGAGGCTGGTCTCCGATGAGGCTGGCCGCCGTGACCGAAATTCAGTCTGGAGGACATTATATACAGTAAATATTTACTGTAAAACAACAAATTGCCTACAAAAATACAAGTATGAACAACATAAAAGTTCAATTTAGTTAATTTACTTTAGTAATTATTAAAAAATGTTAAGAATAATTCAAAGAGAAATAATGAGTAATCCTTTTTCATGATTACACTTCTTAATAATTACAATAACTACATCAGTTATAAACTATTAAAATAATATTAATGGTTTTTAATTTCTTGTAGTTTCTAGTAGCATCCTAGCAAAATATCATAAAAGCAGCAAATTCACAAATAGTAATTTATTTATCAATTCAGTTGCATGATAAAATAAATAAGTAAATGATTAATCTATAATGCAGATATGTTTATTTATATGCAAGGGAATGAATAGTATAGGATAAACAACAAAACACAGAATTTGAATTTGATCAAAGGTTATCTAATCATCTGAATTTTAAAACAATATAAAGCAGAAAGAATACAAAAATTGAGAACAAGAATAAATAAAATATGTAGTAATTATGATTGCCTTTTCCCAGCTTTAACACTCTACCCATCGTTTTTCCCAAGAAACCAGAACTTCTATCAACATCGTCATCTAATCCACGTAAAATCTTGTCCTGATATCTTACTTCATTACCTATCTCTATTGACATATGTTTTAGTGTACTTATTTTTCCACTAAGTTCTTCTGCCATTCTTTCGTTTTCATGTTCGAGAACATCTTCTGTAGCAACCCGAGGAATGGGTTGATACTGATAGCCATCTCGGGCTCTTCTCATACTGTTTCGCCCCGCCGTCTTGAACGTTAATTACTATAAATATTGTGAAAGTACGGGAAATTAGCCAGTATGTATTAATTATTACTGAAACATTAATATTTATGACAGTCAAATAGATTCGAGCTCAACGAAACACAATCTTTCAATACAATACACTGAAAATATCGATTAAGATAATATTAATGTACTTCAATACGAATTTAGACACCAGTACACGACGCAAATATGTAATCACAATCATAAAGATTACTGTATACCAGTCTACGTCACAATCACAAACTAGTCACAATCACATCTTATTTCAAGTCTGCAGTCTGCACTAGCCACTAGCTTGCTACATATATATTTATCTATGCTTTGCACCTTGTGAATGTCATACATTTTTTTAACTGGCTTTACGGCTCTGGGTTCTAGCCCTTCTGAGCCTGAAGTTACAATGTATAATTATCTTTCATAGTATACTGCTTCACAATATGTTGATGCGTCACATTGTGCAGCCCTTAGGAGATTTTGACGGCAACATGAATCAGCAGACAGCTGACAGTTGGCGATGGTATCTCAAGGCGCCTAAGCAGACAGACGCCTTATCTTAAGAATACATCACCATCAGAGCACTTGTTACACCGTTTCCACTAATAGTTCATATACGCAGACACTTAATACACAAAATCGCACCACTTTTACATATCAAATTCCAATTCAAACCATTATTTAAACAATAATACAGAATCTGCAACCGCCGCCGGCAGGGTGATATGTAATATATATTGTATCGGAAAAAACTGAAAATGTTAATTCTGTGTTAAACTTTTTTATTGGTTGCTTATTAGAGTATAATTACATACATATTACTCTGAGATTTGCACAATTAATTCACCTATTAATTGATTAAAATTGAATTATTGAATATAAGCAGAATTCTATCAAAAGAAGCCATGACTTAAAAGAAGAAAAAATATGACATTTGTTTGTCAACGTCTTTCATATTGAAGATATTTTCTGAAATTTATTAAAATTTAGTTCATAGGTTTAGTTTTTAATATTTATTATTGATTTTCGCTTAAATTCAGTTATTATGGACTTCATTTTCGTATGTAGGTGAATACACAGTCATAATATCGTCGTGAATATACAGTAAATATTTTTTGTAGGATGTTAACTCAGTATGAGATATTGAATATAAATAAATTATTATTTCAAAGTTTTACACGATTTGTGATCATCATCGAAAATTAGTTAAGTGTTGCGCAAATAAAAAGCACAAAATCATCTGATCACTGTCTGCAGGTTTCCTATGATTGGAAAAGAAAAACTTATGACAATATTGTGCTAAGTCTATAAACATTTTGAAATTATTGGCCGTTATTTGTAGGGATTATTACTATATTAACTCGAATTGTATCTGTTTCAGATCACGTATTTGGGCTGAGTTAAGTTTTCATCATGAGAATTTTGCTGATTTAAATTTACGTTAATGTTATGTGAAGAATAACTCTCTGACAATATATCAGTCACAAGCGTGGAAATATTATGTACAAAAGCAATAAAAGACATGAATAATAATGTATAGTTTATAAAACAATCTGTCTTCCAGAAAATAAAATTACATAACTATACTTATTTATAGTTTTATTTTATCCCACATACTAATTTAAAGTATGTTCGAGTAATTTTGGTGCAACCTCTCAAATACGAGTATATGGGAATTTACCCCATAGGTTTGTGAGGCTTGAGCCAAAATTACTCGAATATGCCTTAAAAAAAGTTTTAAGTTATAGAAAACAAAGGTTTGAAATTCCCGCTAAAAAAGTTTTATATGGGCGTCCACTGTAGCGCTTTTAGTGTACACTCATAAACACGTGTTTCCGTTTTTTAGTATGAAGTTGGCGTTCTTCTCTTGTTAGAGAGTAATTGTGTTCTGTGGCCGCCGGTCAAGTTCCCGCATAGACATAGTATCTTATAGACTAAACATTCAGTGACGTCATCAGCGTGTGAAAGGAATGCACGTATATAGTTAGACATAAGAGTAAGGGAGAAGCAAATCTATATTTCATGTCTTTTTCTAGGTATGCGTTTTTGATTGTTTTCCCTCCTTTATTTGACATTAACGATGTCAAGCTCTTTTGAATAATATTGATATTATAAGCAAACAGGTAATTGAATTTAGTGTTTTTTGTGGATCTTATTTATTAGGTAAGGTGAAAAAGATGGTAAGTTATAGCATTTTAGGATGCAACAGCATCAGTCAACGAAAAATTGATAATATTACCTTTCATCGGTAAGTTTGTTTTGTGCTTACATTTGCTATTTGTACTGATTAATATCTATTGTTTTGAATATAAAGTGTAACATTTCATGTTTTTAATGAACTTTGTGATGTATTTTGTCAAATATTTAGATTCCCAAATTGTAAATTTTTCACGATAATGCTCCTTAATTTGAACGGTCATTCGAAAGCTTAAAGTCATAACAAACGTGTACTTTTTGATTTAGTAGGATTATAGAAACTTTAGGGATATCAGCGAGTACAATAAAGTTTTCGCATTGTTCAATAATAATATTTATTGTGATTAGTAGTTATATCCATAAATATGAATCACATAATGTTATATGTATACACTTTTATGTTCAGCTTTAAAGGAAAGTCCTTATTGCCCTACAACTCTTCAATCATTTTCTATATTACATAGACTTCACAAATAATATGTAAGTATCAAGCTAAAAACATGTTTGGATTCAAGTACATAAATATTGGGCAAAGTATATTTAATTTCACAAAATATGTATTGCTTGAAATCAGATGCACAAAACTTTATTGCATTCCATTCATTCTATTATAGATTAGCAACAATTACATTACAATATTTATTCAAAAAATGTCATGCTAATATAAAAATAGATATAAATATAGATAAAATAATAAATAAGTCTTAATCTTAAGGTACACAATAACACAACAACATAAGATAATATTCTCAATTAATGATGTAGAAAAAATTTGATGATAATATACTTACCATTACCATTAGTCAGTATCAAAAGTTATAGGTTTTGTGATAGTTGCCTAGCTTGGCAGGAGAATTGGCAACTGCAGTTATTTGGAGACAAACTGTGTGGGAGGTCTATGTTCAGCGGTGGAGGACATTTGTTAGGCTGTAAATGTATTAATTAACAATATCTAAAGCTTAATATGTACATAATTTTTTTAAATGTTTGGTATGAATAATATTATCATTACATTTACATATACTTGCTATTTAAATAAATCAGTTGATATTGTTTTAATTGTTATAGGTATTGTGTTTATGCACAGATACACATACTTGATTTTTCTTTTGTTAAATACCTTGATATAAAAGTGTACTATATATTTAATATATTAATTTCTTTTAAATATATTATTTCACAACTTTCCTAAGGAATCAGCTATCAGTAACAGTTGGATAATCGCTACTGGTAGTGCTTATAGGTAACCAACAAAACTTAGCAGTGTATGCTCAAAACATTTTAAGCCTCATTGTTTTAGGTGGACTAAATATGCTTAACTTATGTAATTTATAATATAATTAAGATAATTTTTTAAATGTTATAATTTCTTGTTGTATCTTGTTGTTTCTCCATAAGTGATATAAGTTTGATCTTGTTGGTAGTTACGATTTTTGACATTGTTCTGTATGTATTAAAAATTGACTAGCATTGCTTATTTTATTTTCAAATGCTGACATTCTGTATTATTATGACTTGTAATAATTGGGGGCATGACAAAGACAAAATATTTATTTGTAGATGTATTGATTAAACATGAATCCTCATTTACAAATGTTGGAACTTTATCTGTACAACCATGTTTTATGCAAATAAAGATTTAAATAAAATAAATAAATAAGTAATTTAAAATCCTGACCTAAATATACAAATTAATAATTTATTATGCAATAATAATTGTAAAACTGACTGGGAATGCCTACCAATGGGACATTTAGTCCACCCTTTATCCCTTTTATAAAGGTGTTATAAACATTAATGTGTAAATAAATTAAGAAATAAGAGATAAGTATTACCTATCTAAGTATAGTTTAGGAGTTGTACCTTATTATTTATACCATTAAAATATATTGTATACAAGGCAAATAATATATATATATATATATATATATATATATATATATATATATATATATATACACTCCTAATCTGATTCTAACGACCAGCACCCAAGAATTTCTGCCATGCAAAGGTATAAATCAAGTTTACAAATGCATATTTTTGAGAAATTCTAAGGCTACTCAAACCAAGCATTACAACGAATGCTCTAGAAAGAAGACAAAAATTTTGTTAAATTTGTTGTTTATTAATGTGTTGAAAAATTAATAAATAATCGTTTGTTTATTTTAATTTTATTGAATTATATTTAATATATAATTGTGTTTTCATTTGTTTTACTTTATGTAACATTGTTAATATTTCTAAAAGTTGTGTAAGTACGCAAAATTTAGTTCTTTTTCTTTTTAAATTTCAATATATTTTCATTTAAATAGAATATATATCTTTACAGTCTATCAAAAGTCCACTGTTGAACATAAACATGATTATAGTTATTTGGCATAGTTTCAACGCTTGGAAAGCGGGTTGTCAATCATTATTTAGCTGTTATCAGGACAATGCTCGTCGCTGATCGTCGAAATCCAAAGAGTTTATTGAATGTCCAGTAAAATCGTCGATGCGCCGTTGAATACAGAATGATGATTCTGTTTTTACGCCGTTTCCGCCAGTAGTTTTTGTCACAGAATGTATTTTCAAGAGAAATTAATTAATCATCTGAATTATATAAGAACTTTTTTTATGGTAACAATTAAGTTTTTTGTATGAATGTAAGTGCTGTGAATATAAATAAACCCATAACGGGGGAAATGGAACAATATCTGGTAACCCAGTGAAAGTACGTCCCGCCTATTTCTATCTCGAAAGCATACGCGAATGCTTTATCTAGTCAATCCTCTATCTACGAGTTCCCGACAAACCCTGTCATACATAGATATGTATGCCAGGATTTGGTCTTTGACATTTACATGTCCTCTTAGTAGTCCATAGTAGTCTATGTAGATACATTGTCAAAGTAAGTAATGTCAATTGTTGAATAATCGTTTGACGAAAAATAACCGATGTTATCATTTATTGAAATTAATCTATAGTAATATCTGCAAACATTACTAGATCACATTATTTATATATTTTAGCGCAAATCTTCATTTCTGACAACAAAACAAAATAATATTACCGAATTTTTACCGCCTTTTAATAACAGATTGATTACATACAAGAAATATATGTAGTTACATAATATTAAATGAAACAAGACTCGTTATCGATTATTAACATCACTAAACGATAAACGTGGATGTCAAAATTCGGAAGTGATTTTTTTTATTTTTCATCGGCTACAAGGCCTTCAGCCAAAAATAATATGTCTAAAATTTCATACAAAATCGTTCAATTATAAGAAATAACAATATAACATAGTAACTAATTGGAAGTAAATATAAAATAACATCAAAATATGTCAATTTTGATGTTAAGTATGCAAACCAAAACTGCTTTTTATGACGTAACACTGGACAGCTTCATAAAAATAGAATATCTACCCTTCTTTGCCTTGTTCTAGCAGAATAACTGGTAAGGACACAATCATGTTAAACAAGGTAACCGATTGGCTTTAGTCCTTACGAGCGTAGACGGACTTAGAAGGCAAGCATGTGCCCTTTCCCCAGACGGCTAGCACTGAGAAACCCAAGATAATTATGTCCCGCTATAATTACATTATACTCATAGGTAGAAGCAAATTATCGCAAGTTTATAATTACATATACAAAATCCAAAATAAAATACTAAACGTATTCTGTCTCTGTAAACTTTTTCTTCCTCATTGGCGCGTAAAATTCCACCGGTGGTTAAGGGTCTTTCCCAATAGGGAATTTTTGCCTTAACGCTTTCTTTCTTTCTTTTCCTTTTTAATCTTTAAGGTTCAATAAACATTACAACTACCCGCTACACATCTAGATTTGGGATTTAGGACCGGGTCCGGGCAAACATTTCAAATACTTCAGCGAAAGCTTAAAAGTAGCAACGAAGCTACCAAAATATTAGGATCCTATGTCAGTTATTTAAAATGAACGTACAAGTCAAAATCTGTTATTCGAAATTGGCTTTTACAAATAATTTCTGTAAGGCAAGAAAAACGCCATCGCTTCAGCAAGATATTTTGAGTCACAATTTTCATTAACACATCACAGTCACAATTGAAATATATGTTAGTAAGTAACAAGCTTTTTTTCTCCTCTAAGCATTATGTTTTTAAATAATTATCAGTTACTAAAGTATTCTTTTTGAAGTTTTCACTTCAAAAATAATATTACTTAAGTAACGTTAGAATCATAGTGATTTGAAACGAAAAAGAGACAAACATACATACAAATACAAACACTCACGCCTGTCACCCAGAGGGGTAGGCAGAGACTACGGACTTCCATTTGGCGCGATCCTGATACACCTCTCTCGCCTCCTTTACATCCATACATTTACGCATACACGCTCGCCGGTTAAGGGTATTCCTAATCTGGCCCATTTTCAATGTATCGCCGATTTGGTCGATAAATCTTCGTCTAGGGCGTCCCTTCCCGACTTTGCCGTTCACTTCTGAAACATAAATTTGCTTTGTCACTCTTTCCTCGTTCATTCTTTCTACGTGACCAAACCACGGAAGCATTCCTTTTTTAATCCTAGTCACAACGTCATCTTGCAAACCACACTTTTCTCTTATCACACTATTTCTCACCCTGTCATTCAGATTCAGCCCTAGCATACTCCTGTAATAGTGGTGTATGGTGTCCACTATTAACAGACTCCGAGTGGTCTAGGAGCGGAGAAATAAAACTATCTTTCTGATATGCCTTAATATGTGCAGGCGAATAGATTACCAATAGTAAAATATTTTACTTACTTAGCCAATTACAATTCATACATTTTGACCAATAAAGATTAACAAAAATATTATGTACAACTATTATGGGTCGCGCTCCATTTGCCGGCGTTAGACTCGTGGATCGCTTCTCGTAGCTGCGTTGCTGGACGGAGCTATAAAAGTGATGCAGACAGGCGCGCGCGCGTAATCGGCGAGCGGCGGCGGCGTGGGACACATCTCCGGAACAGCAAGAAGAAGCGAAGCTGCGGCGTTGAAGAAACGGCTCGAAAATGGTCGACGGATGCGTGAAGATAGCCGGCGTGTGAAGACGATGCGGTGCTGATGATATTTGCGGCTGTTTCTTGTTTCTATATTAGAACGTTAAATATATACGTCAAATTATCTCGCATCGATATGCAGCCCGCAGTATCTCAGTAGCCGGGGGCCCGGGGGTAGTTAGGAAATAAATGTTTTCTTCAGACCTTCACCTTTTGCGTTATGGTAGCAGCAGGGTACATTATTTATTACGGTTTAGGGTTGATTAGCCTGGCTGCTACATCACTCTCCCCCTAGCGAAAGCGTACCGGAGGCTTGACGACTCGCCTATGTCTCGTAGTTTTTAAAATAGGTTTCATCTGGGTTGATGTAGATGATGGGTTTTCAAGCTGCCTCGCTGGTGGTTGAGATGATGATGATGATGATGATGATGGTGAATCCCTTGAAGCTACCTCGTTGATAATATAGGCAGGCTTTAGTCGGTCGATCGATATAATTGTAGATTTCCTTCCGGGTATTTGTAATTTAAAAGTCTTGCTATTTCGCTCTAATACTTTATATGGTCCATCGTAGGTAGGTTGAAATTGTTTCTTCACTGCGTCGTTTCTTACAAAAACTTGCTTGCATGTTTTCAAATGTTGATGAATGAATACTGATTTATTATTTCCGTGTGATGATGTGCGTTTTGACGATAAGACTTTGTTGATTGATTCTCGAAGTTGAGTTACAAAATCGTTTCTTGATTATTTAACGATGTTGAAGTGAAGAAATCACACGGTAGTCTTATGCTGCAGCCGTAGGTTAGCTGAGCGGCGCTAAGACTTGTGTCTGCACGCGGTGTTGCTCGTAGTCCAAGTAGCACTGTAGGTAGCTCATCAATCCACTTTGTATGTTGAGATAAACGAGTTTTGAGTGCGGTCTTCAATGTACGATGCCATCGTTCGACTATTCCGTTTGATTGAGGATGGTATGCCGTTGTACGTGTCTTCTGTATTCCCATAGTTTGAAGAAATTTGAGGAATAGGTTGCTTTCGAAGTTTCTTCCTTGATCCGTTGTGATGGTTTTAGGTGATCCGAAACGAGTAATCCAATTTTCATAGATTATCTTTGCGACGGATTCAGCTGAAGTATCATCGGTAGGTATTGCTTCTGGCCATCTTGTTGTTCTGTCGATCATTGTTACGAGGTAACGATGTCCTTGCGGTGAAGTAGGTAATGGTCGAACGATGTCAACGTGCAGGTGTTCGAATCTCTCCGTAGGTGGAAATGAAGCTAGGCTGCTTGATGTATGTCTTTATACTTTGCATTTTTGGCATTGAATGCATTGCTTCGCCCAGTTGCCAACATCCTTTTGTATTGAAGGCCAAAAGAATTTTCCAGTGATGAGTTTTCTTGTTGCTCTAGCACCTGGATGACTGATGTTGTGCAGTGCATTGAAGACTTCGCGACGACATTCTTCTGGTAGGTATGGTCGCATGGTTGATGTTGAGGCTTCACAGTAGATAGGTAGATGCGTCATTGGCATTGTAACTTGCTTGATGGACAAGTTACTTTGCTTCGATACATATAGATGTTGTCGCTATCTCTGTCTTGTGCTTCGGCGATCTTGGATAGTTGATTGATGTAGGACATGTTACACTGTCGTTTGGTATGCGACTAAGTGCGTCGGCGACTATGTTGTCCTTCCCACTGATGTGACTTATGTCGGTCGTGAATTCACTTATGAAAATGAGTTGTCTTGCTCGTCGTGGTGTTTCCGATGGTGATGGTTTCTTCTGACGTACATATGTTAATGGCTTGTGGTCGGTAAAAACGATCAGGTTTCGACCCTCGAACGTTTTTCTGAAGTGCTTGATAGCCATGTAGATAGCGAGTAACTCTCGGTCGAATGTACTGTAGTTACGTTGAGTATCGGAGAACTTCTTCGAAAAATAGCCAAGTGGTTGCCATTTCCCATTGATGTATTGTTGGAGTACAGCTCCTGCTGAGAAATTGGACGTGTCGCTGAAGATAGCAAGGGTTGCTTCGTGTGATGGGTGAGCGTGCAAAGCTGCATTTTGGATCGCAACTTTACAAGCTTCAAATGCCTTCATCATACCATGAAAGAGAAACAGAAACAGAAACAGAAACTTTTTTATTCAATATAGATTATAAATAATACTTATTGAAAGTCACTCTTTTGTTTGATTACCACTGGTTCGGAAAAAACCTCTGTCCTGGGAAGAACCAGCAAGAAACCCAGCGGGACTTTTTTTTAAATAACAGCTTACAATCATGATGTTACACAAATTAACAACACAACAAATTAGAAATAGCTTGGTAGCGATCACCTCATTTCCAGGGGTTATTATCATCCATAAATTCCTTAATATTATAATAACCCTTTTTATACAAACTTAGTTTAATAAAGTTTTTGAACTTTGAACAGGCCAAACTTTGTATATTTTCTGGAATTTTGTTGTAAAAGCGTATACATCGCCCCAAGAATGAATTACTGACTCGATGGAGTCGAGTAACTGGTACTACTAGCTTGTGTCTGTTCCTAGTATTTCCAGAATGAATATCACTTATTTTTATAAAACTACTTTTATTTTTGTGTACGTACATTACATTTTCATAAATGTATTGAGAGGCCAAAGTTAATATATTAATTTCCTTAAATTTTTGTCGCAGCGACTCTTTGAAATCTTTTAAATCATAAATTGCTCTTATGGCCCTCTTCTGCAAAACAAATATAATTTCAGTGTCAGCTGCGTGTCCCCATAGCAAAATACCATACGACATTATGCTATGGAAGTAGCTGAAGTAAACTAGTCTAGCTGTTTCAACACTGGTTAGACTTCTAATCTTTTTTACAGCATATGCTGCAGAACTAAGTCTGCTTGCTAGTTTTGATATATGGGGGCTCCATTGAAGCATCGCGTCTAGTGTGATTCCAAGAAAAATGGTGGTATCTACAAGACTCAGTTTCTCCCCATTTAAAATTACATTAGTATTTAATTGTTTGACATTTGGAGTCACGAATTTCATACATTTTGTTTTAGTGCCATTTAAATGGAAATTATTAACATCGAACCAATTTACTAATTTAGATATAGCATTATTTACTTCGTCATATTTTAGTAACTGTCGACTTAATTTGAAAATTAAAGAAGTGTCATCTGCAAATAATACTATATCATGGTTATCCCCTACTATGTAAGGTAAGTCATTAATGTATACAAGAAACAGAAAGGGGCCGAGAATTGAGCCTTGAGGCACGCCCATTTGTACCATCGATCCGGAAGAGCTCATATTGTTAATGACAACTTTTTGCGTTCTCTTACTTAAATATGAAATAATTAATTTAAGGGTATCACTTCTTACACCGTAGTGTTGAAGTTTCCTGATTAATGTTTCATGGTGAACACAATCGAAGGCTTTGGATAGGTCACAAAATATACCCAAAGCATCCTGTGAATTCTCCCATGCATTAAAGATATATTTAATAAGCTCAACACCGGCATCAGTTGTCGAGCGACCCCTTGTGAAACCAAATTGATTTTTATGAAGTAAATTATTTATATTAAAAAAATTTAACATTTGATCAAGAACAATTTTTTCAAAAATCTTACTAAGTGTTGGTAGTACAGAAATAGGTCTAAAATTGGCGGGGTCTAATTTACTACCAGATTTAAATAAAGGTATTACTTTACTATGCTTCATTAAATCAGGAAACACACCAGATTCGATCCTAGTATTAAAAATAATAGCTAAATGAGGCGCGATTGTATCTATTATAGACGCAATAACTTTAACGGAAATTCATCATGTCATGTGATTGACGTTTTATCTTTTTTCGTCGTGTTGTGAAGGTAGGCGTGAAGTTTTGCTTGGATTTCAGCGGCTTTAGGTATGTGTTCTCTGTAAAAATTAACCATTCCAAGAAAACGCCTTAGTTCTTCGATTGTTTTAGGTTTCGCATAATCGATAATTGCTCTGACTTTTTCAGTAGGCAGTTTGATTCCTTCCTTGCTGAGGGTGAAACCAAGAAATTGAACTTCTTGTTGTCCAAATGTGCATTTCGAAGGGTTGATTGTGATTCCATTGTCTTCTTATCTCTGTAGCATGGTGCGTAGATGGGTTTCGTGCGTTTCTTTATCAGGGCTTGCAACAAGGACATCATCGATGAACGCGAAAACGAAATCCAGTCCATGAAGTACTTCGTGTATGAATCTTTGAAAGATTTGACCAGCGTTCTTCAGTCCTGGGATCATTCTTGGAAATTCGAATAATCCTATTGGAGTAATTATTGCTGTCTTCTCTATGTCTTCATCGCGTACTTTAATTTGTTGGTAAGCTCGGTTGAGATCGATGGTGGAGAATATAGTCTTGTCTGACAGTTGATGAGTGAAATCCTTAACTCGCGGTATTAGGTAGCGGTCAGGAGTGGTAATAGAATTCAGTCTTCTGTAGTCTCCACAAACTCGTAATTCTCCGTACTTTTTCGGTACAACGTGAAGTGGTGACGACCAAGGGCTTTTGCTTGGACGGCATATTTCTTGCTCGATCATGCTTTCGAATTCCTTTCGAACTTGCTCGTATCGGTGTGGTGCGATTGGACGGCATATTTCTTGCTCGATCATGCTTTCGAATTCCTTTCGAACTTGCTCGTATCGGTGTGGTGCGATTGGACGCGTGCTCGGCAATGAAGTGGTGGTCCATTGGTTTCGATGAAATGTTCAACGTCGTGCTGCGGTGTTAATTTCATTGAAGTTATTCTTGTGATTACAGGATATTCTTCAAGGATTTTGTGATACTATTGTTGAACATCTATGCTTCTTATTGTGGGCAGATTGGTTGCTTGGACGAAAGACTGAGATGCAAGATTGGTTTTCCCGTCGATGATTCTTCTATTTTTAATGTCGACGATCAACTGGTGATGTTGAAGAAAATCAGCACCGATGATTGGTTTGCTGACTTTAACGACGATAAATCTCCACTTGAATGGTCGGCGTAGGTTTAAATCTAGTTCCATTGTTTTTTCTCCATATGTAGGAATAAGCGTATTGTTTGCTGCGTAAAGTTGAAAATCCAGTGGCTTCATCTTCTGTCTTTGTGTCGGCGGTAAAACTGAGATATTCGCTCCGGTGTCGATAAGGAAGGTAAGCTTGCTTTTTTATCGGTGACGAAAAGACGGTAGGACTTTTCTGTTACGCCGGATCCCGTCGCATCAAGCGTATTAGTTAGTTTTCCGACTTCATATTTTCATTTTTGAATGTACACGGTGTTGTGCATTTTCTTGTCTCGAACCCGAAACGTCGATGATAGTAGCATACCAAGACATAGAGAAGACAGCAATAATTACTCCAATAGGATTATTCGAATTTTTCCTACTATTCTTGCAGGGATGTTCCTTATCGGTGTGCGTAACGGGGTCACCAATGTAATAGTGGTGTATGGTGTCCACTATTAACAGACTCCGAGTGGTCTAGGAGCGGAGAAATAAAACTATCTTTCTGATATGCCTTACTATGTGCAGGCGAATGGAGTATGGAGTATATTTTATTCAGCTAACCCTGCCTATATTTATATGTCCGGCTACGTCCTTAGTTTGCCAATAGTAAAATATTTTACTTACTTAGTCAATTACAATTCATACATTTTGACCAATAAAGATTAATAAAAATATTATGTACAACTATTATGTGTCGCGCTCATTTGCCGGCGTTAGACTCGTGGATTGCTTCTCGTAGCTGCGTTGCTGGACGGAGCTATAAAAGTGATGCAGACAGGCGCGCGCGCGTAATCGGCGAGCGGCGGCGGCGTGGGACACATCTCCGGAACAGCAAGAAGAAGCGAAGCTGCGGCGTTGAAGAAACGGCTCGAAAATGGTCGACGGATGCGTGAAGATAGCCGGCGTGTGAAGACGATGCGGTGCTGATGATATTTACGGCTGTTTCTTGTTTCTATATTAGAACGTTAAATATATACGTCAAATTATCTCGCATCGATATGCAGCCCGCAGTATCTCAGTAGCCGGGGGTACTTAGGAAATAAATGTTTTCTTCAGACCTTCACCTTTTGCGTTATGGTAGCAGCAGGGTACATTATTTATTACGGTTTAGGGTTGATTAGCCTGGCTGCTACACTCCTTAATGACCGTATTTCTACAGCCTTTATTCTACTCTCATGCTTCTTTTGCTAGACCCAACTTTCACTACCATACATTAAAGTAGGGACTAACACAGCATTATGAATTGTCATACGTGCCTTCTTTGACACATTCTGACTCTTCATAATAGCGTGTAGAGCCCCATTAACTCTATTTCCTGCGTTCACTTGTCGTTCTATATCCTTATCATATCTACCATCCCTGCTAAATAAACATCCTAAATATACAAACTCATCCACTTGCTCAATCAACTCCCCTTCTATTCTTATTTCACGTAACGTTTTACTTTCTTCTCTTTCAGAAACCATTACTTTCGTCTTACTTGCGTTCACTTTCATAACCCTTTCTTTTAATGACCAGTTCATTAAAGTAACCATCATTTGCAACTCGGCCGCCGACGATGCAAATATGACTTGATCATCGGCGTACAAAAGGTATTTGACGGTTAACTCACCCATTCTCAACCCACATTCTTCAACTTTCAAAGTTTGCAAACAACTGTCCATAAATAGGTTAAACAGCCATGGAGAAGCTACACAGCCCTGTCTGACACCTTTTTGAATGCCAAACCAGTCCAAGTAGGCCCCGTTGATCCTGACACAAGCACTAGAGTCCCTATAAAGAGACTTTAATGCTAGTATCAGACCAGCGCTCAACCCAAATGAGGTCAGTGTTTGCCATAACACGTTCCTGTCCACTTTGTCATAAGCCTTTTCCAAGTCCATGAACGCACAAAAAACTTTCTGGTTTTTGACCAAAAATTTCTCCGCAATCATGCGCATGGAAAAGACTTGATCTGTACACCCCACCCCCTTTATAAATCCAGCTGGCACATCCCAAATTTTTCCATCAGTTTCTTCCATAACTCTTTCAATTAACACCTTAGCATACCCACAATGCTAAGCAAGCTAATACCACGGTAGTTTTTACAGTCCTGCTGCG